AAAAACCACCCACAAAAATGCTGAACCGTGAAATTTCCTGAGACTGTAAGAAGATACATTCAAGTTGGAACAAAAAGAATGAAAAGCCACAAACTACAGGAAGAAAACATCATTCATGTTCTAGGACCCTTAAGTAGGAGGGAATTTCTGAAGAAGGTTTTAGGGAGGATCAAGATTAAATCAGACGACAAAAGAAAATTTAAAGAACAACAATCAAGGTAACAAAGGCATTTGCGAGTCTTTCTGCTTGCACATCTGGCTAAAAGATTAACCATGTCCATGTAATCAGGACAAACTAACCTGGCATCTGAGAAAGCTGAGTATCGTGGCATACCTAGCACTGCTAAAACCCATTTTCCAGCGGGGGAAAGCTCTCTGAGAGCAATCCAAAGTTTAGGTGCCTTTAACTCCTCTCCAAAGGTACCTTCCAAAGGATACTTGAACTACATACTTTTGCTATGCAAAGAACCTGAGGTTTTCAGGCTTCCAGCTTATTGCCTCATTTACACACCTGGATTTACGTAAGATGAATCTAAGTCATATTATCAAAAATGATGTGTAAATGTAAATGTCTGCAACATTGACTTGATTTACAAAGTTGTTTGGATTCTTTTATAGTAAAAATTTAATGGAAAACAGTGCTGTTAGTACAAAAACTAATAATTATTTTATATCCAGACAAGTAATGTCAACATCATTTGACAAATAATGCAATGGTCTTGATAACAGTAATAAAGAATGTGCTTCAGCAGTTTGAAATTATTCTTAAATACACATACATCAATTCTCTCTGATTTCTTGTGTGTCCATGAGATTGCCAAAGGGAACATATTCCATCCAGCAGGCATTGGATTAAACACAATGCATTTCAATATGCTGCAGCAAAATAGATTTCTTCATTTCATTTCCGCAGAAAGTCCATACAATACACCAGGTCAAGCATAAACTCTAGGTAATTGCATTCCTTCCTGCCTGCTTTTAAGAAATCTAAGGTCCTTGAACATTCCCTTTGCCTTTTTTATAAACATGGCAACACTTATTCACCTAACTCTCGTGTATGGACAGGCTGTATTAGCCCAAGACTTGTACAAAATTTCCAATAGCAGGGACGGGCAATTTGATAGATTTTACCAAGCCTATTCACTGTTTTGACTCCACCATAACTCCACAGATTTCACCACTGTGAAATCCCATGGTTCAGGAAAGGAGATCTGGAACTCTGAACCTTCTTTTGCTGCAGAGAGGCTTAGAAAGAGTATCTCCCAGTTCACCCAAAAATAGAGTGTCCTGGAGGTTTCCACTACATTCTTCCACTGAGTGTTTCTTACCTGTTTCTGAAGTACTCATTTAGTTAAGTATGTCCTAGAAAAAGAAAGGAGCCTGCGACTGGACCCACCTGCACTGTTGCTTATGGAGCCCTACCAGAGAGTCTGATACTTTATAGCAACTGAATGGTGGCCAGAAAGGAAATTCACAGATTTCATTATTCCCAACGGAATCACATGGCATGGAACATATTTTTAAAATAGATTTATTCATGCTAATTTTACTTCTATGCCAGTGCTTCCTTGAAACGGGCCAGTTTGGCTCTACTTGTTCAGGGACAATCGGGAATGACAGGACTAGGGGCAGGCAGGCAGTACAGTTACAAGGCCTTGTCCCCACTGTTGGATGTGGGAATGCTGCACCAGCTAGTGTTGACAAGAGAGCTGACCCCCTTTCCTCCACGCTGGGAAACCTGTCCCTGCAGGCCACTTCATGATGATGTAAAACCCTGTACATGATCCAAAGAAGTGGAAAACATTGTGTTGTTTTGTTCTCCCCTGCTCTATTATTAGAGTAGCCAGTGTTCTTATCTCACTGAGTGCGGTTGCCCACACAGTCCCTTCAGGAGTAAGACATCAGTTCAAATACGGAAGAAACGAGTCAGAGTGTATTTAGGTGAGTAATGTGTGCTCAAACCAGCTCAGAGCCGAGTTGCGTCCTTGGATACGGAAGCAGGTGGCTGATGAACCCTCAGAACCAGGCAGAGTTACTGAGACAAGAAAGCATAAAATGCTCCCTATGTTAAAAACGTGGAGAAAGGAAGAGCCTGGGAACCATCTGCTATGTCTGCTGTAGCAAGTACAGTGACACAGCAACAGTTTTATGTAGCTGGAGTCCCAGTTCAGAAGTGAACTCTTGATCTGAACTAACACTTTGACACAGATGCATTTCAACCATTAGTCAAACACTTGATCCTGGGGAAAAAAAATGCTGGAATAACCAACAAGCACCTAAAAGAAATCAAAGCAGTTAATAGCAGTCACTAAAAACTTACCTAGACTGAGACAAATCGGTATAATTTCAACCTACAAAACCCGGCCTGTGTCTAGAATAAGATGGAGTAAATACCATGTGTCATAAGCTCAGTGAAACTCTCGGTAAGGTCTCACATAGTTTTCACGTAAATAAACTAGAGGAATGTGGTTTACATGAAACTACTCTAAGGTGGGGACAAATCTGGTTGCTGCAGGAATGACTGCGGGAAACTGCACTGGGGCACATACAGCCAGATCCAAAGACAGAGGTTGGAATTATCTGGCTGTGTAGCAGCTCCTGAAGAAACAACTCTTAGGTCAAAGCAAACCACTGGCTAAATTGTGTCAATACTGTGCCAGAAAAGGTAAATTATGCAGAGGTGTATAAATTATCCTTCTGCTTCACTCACTTGCAATATTCTGTTCAACTCTGAGTACTACATTCTAAGCAGTCCAGAGGAGAATAATGGTGGTGATGGGAAGTCGGGAATATCTGAACTAGGAAAAGGACTGAACTGACAGGTATGATCCTGAAAAGTCTGAGAGTTGAGACGGTGCCTGATTTCAAACAGGCATATGCCTGCTGAAGAAATTAATCCAGTCTCTAGATCGGTTTCAGATAAGACAGAAATGAGTTGATTTATTGCACAGAAAAGAAGATTTAGTAAAGATTAGGAAAATCTGCGATTATATGAATCTCTAGATTGCCTGGACAGGTTATGAAGTTAACATTATTGACAGTCTTTAGTACTGGGTGACACACATGTCTGTGAAAAAAGGACAAAATTATTTAAGACACTCGCTGGAGGACCATTTCAGCCCTCTGAGTGAAAGATTTGCTTTTGATATAAAGAGAAAAAAACCTAAACCAATTGTAATTATGCACAACTTGTAAAAAAATTCTTACTAAGTGAACTCCATCTAAATCTATGATGTAGGCCAGATCTTCTAATGTAATTTCTTTCCTCTGTAAATGAAAGTTCAATCCAGTCTCAGCTCCCTGCTTGGGATATTCCTAGATTAAGAAGACTCAGAAGAGTACTGAACTGTATTGTGTAGCTGAAATATTAAGTCGTAACATTTTCACAACGTGACGAACCAAATTACAGATATTTTTAATCTCTTCACTGTGGTCAAGCATTGGAACAGGCTGTCCAGGGAGGTTGTGGAGTCAAGAAACAACTGGACATGGCACTTAGTGCTATGGTCTAGTCGATGTGGTGGTGTTCAATCAAAGGTCAGACTCATCTTTTCCAACCATAATGATTCTTTGATTCTGTGATTCTCCCAGCAAGACCACCAGACTCTGCACTGAAGTCAACCTGGTTTGGGCACATGTTTTGTTGAACTTGGTCTGTGGGGGGCACAGCAGCCTCTGACAGAAGTGTAGTGCTGAACAAGTGGGAATTCAGATGCAACAAAAGCTTGAAAACCTAGAGTAAAACAAAACCCCAAAATTAAAAATAGGTGCATGGAAAGTAGCCTGCAGGAAATACAGTCCTCAGCACATTATGGTTACTAGTTTCAAACTTATCTAAATAAAAGCAGCCTGAAAGGTGCTGTCTTGGTCTGCTGAGCTGAAGAGCAAGCTGTCGATCTCTGCTGGGTCTCTCTGAACACTCCAGAAGTAAAAAACAACCCCTTAATATGATTATCCTTCTTAAATGCCTGCATACAGATAAATATAAGTGGGAGTGTTTCCTTTGGCAGTGATAAGGTCCTTCTGGTCCCCAGCACATCTTAAATAACCAAAGAACACCTGTTTAACTCCATGTGTTACATTTCCAGTACGTCTCCACGAGTGATTTTGTGATGCTGCTCAATGGCCCCTCCTATTTTCTAAACTACATTAAACCCCAGATTCCTGAGCAGCCTTATGTCAGTAGCAGATTACTTTATTTTACCCACTCGGTTTCTATAGGGCAGCCCGAATAATTTAACATCGTGTGTTCTTACGCTTTAATACACTTTTTAGGAGGTGGAAAACAGAGGCGAGGAGCGCTCGCCGGCTTCCCTTCCCTTCGCTTCCCACGCACGGAGGCTCCGTGTGGCTGCTCTGCCCTCTGCCGGGGCTCCTCGGGCGGGAAGGGCACGGCGTGGGAGAAACCCCTGGCGTCTGAGGACCCAAATATCCTCCCGGATCGTCTCGCCCGGTGCTCGGGCATCGTCCCGGTGCTCGGGGAAGCGGTGCCCGCCCGGCTCCCGGCGGCTCCAGAGCCGAACTCCTTAGGGACACGCCCGGTGTGCACCGGCTTTTGTCGTCGTCCGTAAGGAATTACTGCATCACAGAATGCCTGGGGTGGAAGAGACCACTGGGGATCATCCAGTCCAACCCCCGCGCCAAGGCAGGGTCACCCGGAGCAGGTGACACAGGAATAGGCTTGGGAATGTCTCCAGACTGCACGTCCTCCCTGGGTAGCCTGTGCCAAGACTCTGCCCCCCTCAAGAAGTTCTCCCTCATGCCGAGGTGGAACTTGTGTTGTAGTTTACGGCCACCGCTCCTCACCCAAAAGTTTGCGGGGCTCCTCCTGCCACAAAATCGCGTTCCCTCCAAACCCAGCGGGAGGAGCGCCTCACGCCCCGTACGCATGCGCGGCGGCAGCAGGACTACACTTCCCGGCATGCCCCGGCGGGGCGGGGCCGCGCGCGTGGCAGGGCGCGGCGGGCGGGCGGGGAGAGGAGCGGAGCTGAGCTGAGCTGAGCGGGACAGGACAGGACCGGGCACGGCCATGGATGCGGGCGAGGGGAAGCCGCAGCCCCACCTGGCCGCGCTGGTGCTGGCGCGGGGCGGCAGCAAGGGCATCCCGCTGAAGAACATCAAGCTGCTGGCGGGGGTGCCGCTCATCGGCTGGGTGCTGCGCGCCGCCATTGACGCCGGCGTTTTCCACAGGTGCGCATGCGCGGTCCCCCCTCGGCCCGCCTCCCCTCCTCCTGCCGGGGCAGCGGGGCCGGGAGTGGGATCGGGATGGGGATACCGAGGGGTCCCGGCCCGGAAAGGGGTGCCGAGGCACCCCGGCGTGGGGAGGGGCTGGATGAAGCTGCCCCTTCGTCCGGGGGTCTTAGTGAAGTCTGTCAGCGTCTGCACGGGGGTGTCAGTGACTGGACCGGGCTCTGCTCTGTGGTGCCGAGGAATAGGACAAGAGGCAACGGGCAGAAACCGATGTATGGGAAGTGCCACCTGGATATAAGGGAGAACATCTTTACTGTGCACTGGGATGGGCTGCCCAGAGAGGTTGTGGTGTCTGCCCCACTGGAGATACTCCAGAATCACTGGGATGGAATCCTGTGCAACCTGTTCAGGTGACCCTGCGTGAGCAGAGAGGTGGGACCAGCTGACCTCCACGGTCCGTTCCAACCTTACCCATCCTGTGACGCTGTGAGTGAGGCAGGTGTGTGGTAGGAGATCCCCCCTGAAGACAAGGTCGAGGATCAGGCTAGGCAAGCAGGCATAACCCTGCCATGAACTCTGCTGTCCCTTCCTGGTAAGGGTGAGCAGGGCAGGAATGAAGGAGTTGGAAGTCTTGCAGTAATTTGAAAGTCAAGTTGTTCTGGCCCAGGAGGGAGTTGTAACCACACCTGTCACTGATTTGGTTGGGGAGCCTAGCTGACAACTTTTGCCAGTAAACATTGATGTTTTTATTAAGACATCTGCATTAAATAGAACTGTCAGGCTGTGGGTAATCTCCTGTGAATGGTTTAATCATGGGGTGACATTGGGTGATGGTCACCTGGTGCTCCCTGCTGTGCAAAGTTGTGCTGGTGAGAGTTGCTCGGGAACAAATGAAGCTGAGTTTGGGATTTCCATGGTTCCAGTAGTTGAGAGCCTGTTATTGTGCTCATCCAGGAAAAAACTGCTTTGTTTTCTCTCCACCTGCCCAGCTGGTACTTGAAGACAGCAGTAAAGTCTCCTCCTTACCTTCTCTTCATAAGACCAACCCCGATATCTCTTTTGGCATCTCATGACATGCACGTGCTCCCAGACATCAGACTGCTCTGCTGGGCTTGTTTTCCTTTTCCTTTGTATTACTGGGGAGCCCACAGCAGGACACAGCACACTGGTGGCAATCCTGCAAACATCGAGTGGAAAGAGATAATCGTGTATGCCCATGTTACAGAAGAGGAGCTCAGTTTGTGACTAAGCACCCAAAACTTTGGTAGCACCAATCAGATCTAGATAGAAACAAGTCTGTTGTTAGTGTTAAGAACACTGGGCATTACAGATTTTTCTGCCAGAACAAAACTGAGACTTTTCTACACATAAACTGATAAACAGTTAAACCCAGTGCATGGTTAGGATATACTTGGTATGTAGCACATCTGGGGGCAGGTTCCCAATGCAAACCTGCTGCATTATGTTCAGAGCAAGAACTCAGTGTAGTCAAGTACAAATGTAGCCCAGCTATAGCTAGATCCAGAGCTGGAAGTGAGCATGAGCCCTCTATATCTCATTACTGTTCTGGAAAATCCTTCTTACTGTGGCTGAAAAGTAGAGGAAGCACGGCTCCGTTTTGTTTTCAATAAAGAAACAGTCAAGAACATTTTCAACCTAAGATTACTTAATGTATTTGAATCCATTTTGCTTAATGACCTCTGGTGGCTTCTATTTGGCATTTGAATTTGCCCACCAGGAAGCCAGTTAGGGTTGTGCAGCCTAACTTTGAGGCATAACAGGTGCAGTGGGTGGGTGTGCTCCAGGTTAATCTAGTCACCTTTGAAATACCTCTGCTGACAGGGTACTTGTTACACAACAAAACTCTTGTTAGTTGAGTGGGGAGTGTATATTTAAGTAAACCATCCCAAAGCAGTTTATGGAAAATACCTCTGCTGTATTTGTTCGCATGGGTGTGACTTGACCTTACTGTCACTGTCATACATATTTTTATCCTGATGATCTTGTGATGTCTTTGGGTGAAAAAATGTAACTAAAGCACCATTTGCTATGAACAATGAACGCTGAGAGAGGGAAGGTGCTTTTTCATAGCTTTTGTCTTTATCTCACTTTTTTTTTTTCCACAACGATGGCAGCAGTGGCCTCACAGTTGCTCAGTGTTTGTCATCATATGATATTCAGACTTAGCCCTTCCTTTTGTAAATGTTTATTTTCCCCAAACGATCACAGTCTTGCTTTACCAGTACTGAAAGTTTTCTGTGCCAAAACATATGTCACTTGAACAGCTCTTTCTCTGGGATTACATGGAGCCCACTCAACACATTTTAAACCACTTGCAGAATAAGCTAAGCTTCTAACTTTGGGGCAGTTTTACTTGCTGTCAGTCCTGTTTCTGAACTCTTACATGATTTTGACTGCGTTGTTAACCCATTCGCAATCCATTGATCACTTAACGTGGCTGTTTTGTGTGCTGACTGGATTTTTTTTGATAACACTTCTGAATTTTATGTTGCTGCGTGGAATGCAGCTCAGGCTTCAGATTTTACAATCTGTGAATGTGTGTGTTTTAACCCCATTTTTTACAAGTTGTTCTTTAGACTGACCAGGATAGGTTTACTAAAGCAAGTACAAGAACTAGGTCCTTTCATTGCACGGTGCAGTGCAGACATAAGCCAGGGTGTTGTTCAGTTTAGATTATGGCAGGTAAGTAAAAAATGCTGGGATTTATTCTTTCTATTAATTTCTGTCACTGTCTGCCAACAGTATATGGGTTTCTACAGACCACGATGAAATCGAGAAGGTTGCAAAGCAATTTGGCGCTCAGGTTCATCGCAGAAGCCCCGAAGTTTCTCAAGACTCCTCAACTTCCCTAGAAGCCATCAGAGAGTTTCTTAATCATCATCATGGTAAATCCATAAGGAAATATGCTGAGCTTTTGTGTTGTAGCCCCAGAGGGATGATGCATTATCATTTAGAAAAATAACTGAAACCTTTATTAAATAAAAGCTAAAAATATTATCTTTTTTTTTTTTCTGTGGCACCTACTCACGCCACACCTTGCAGTTGTGTTATTGAAAGTATGAATTGTTTCATGAATGTTTCTTTATTTTTCTTTAGAGGTTGATATTGTAGGAAATATTCAAGCAACATCTCCCTGTTTACATCCCAGTGATCTTATAAAAGTGGCAGATCTGATCCAGAAGGAGGGGTTTGATTCTGTCTTCTCTGTTGTGAGGCGGCACCAATTTAGATGGAGTGAGGTAAAAAAAGGAGGTAATACTTAGGTGTTTCTGGTTACAGTTATACTTAATTTTTATTTTTTTTTCCAAATGCTTTGTTTTCATATCCATGTTGTTTTAGGAAGTGATATCAGAGGCACGGACTGAGTTCTCTGAGAGGTGTGAGATGGCTTCTAAGTACTGCTGTCTTGATATTACTGAGCGCTGCTCAGCCTTTCTGTATTTGTTTTGTAGAAATGATCAGGTATTGAAAATTAAAATTATATTAGCTTGTCTAGGCTAGAAGCAGAGCTCCCAAAAATGTCGATGTTACCTTCTGCTCAGTGGGTATTCGTGTTTATGGAGATAAGACACTGAGGTCCCGTCTTAACCAGAAAATTGTTTGTTCTTGCTATGCAGTAGCTAACAAGTGACAAATAATGTGAGGTAAGGTCTTGTTGAAGAGGGGATAGCAACCTCTTGGCCTGGAGGCTTAGGCTTTGTTTCATCCTGCTAATGTGGCTGCTGACTTATGTCACGTTGCAAACTGCCTTTGAGTCACGGGGAATGAACTCATGTTAATTAGCTCATCCAGAAGACTATGACTGTTTTTTCCCCGAGAAAATATGCCTCTTGGCTACAGATGCCAAGATGACTAAAGACTGAAATCCTACAAATAATGATTGTACCTTGTTTTAGCTCTAAAGTACCTTTTGTCCATGTACAAAGAACCGTTCCATGCATTATCTATATTGGTTTTGTTTCTGTGATTAAAGCAGAAATGTTTTCTTCATTTTCTTAAAAGCTTTTTATTTCAGATACTGTCACAGTTTTGTTTTTCAAAAGTGAATGTTGCTCAGATATTTTGAGTTTTTCTGAGATATAAATCGCTTAAGATGGAGATTTTTTTTAAATGAGTTTAGAAAGCGTCATGCTGTAAAAGAGCATGTGAAATAAATGAAGCTTGGTATTAGAGAGAAGTTGAAATGAAAGTTACGCCTTTGTTTAGACTACAGACTTGAACATTCTCATTGTTCCTCATAAGAGGAGAAGTAAGCTGGTAAAGTATTAGAAGAATATCAGAAGCATGGATGGCAATTTCTGGATTCAGTGGATTGCACTTTAGTAGGCCACATACAACTCCACATCTTGATATGCTAGAATGGACATCTGTGAAAGAATAAATCTCATTCGGATGTGTCAAGTGGCTTTCTGAAGTGGTTGTGTGCCATCTTGCTCCCTATAGGTAGATTGTTAAAATAAAAAAACCTCAAGGCCTACCCAAAAGAACAAGTAATTCTTTAGTACTAAGTGACATCCAAAGTCTTTTAATGTGGTGAGAGACAAAGAATCAGTCAGCTGTAAGGATTGTATTTGAGGAGAACAAGGAACACATTGTGCAAACATTAGCAGCTTAAGGGTAACTGCCAATGGCCTTTCAGGAGTGTGGTGTTTCAGGTGACTCACAGGAGCATTATACAGTGTTTTTAAAAATTTTTTTATTTTCCCATACAACTTTAGGATACTGATTATGTTAAAATAATTTTATTGTTTTTTTTTTTCTGTGTAGTTCTGTTGTTCCTTCTGCATGAAGGTTTAATTTTGATACACCCTGAAAGAGAAAGATGTCTCTCTCGGACTGGAAATGTTTGCTTCACTGAGCACAAAGCCATAGTTTATTTATGAAACACAAGGTGTGTTTATATAGACTAAAGCCTCAGGATGTTTTGTGTGTTTCAGAATGCCCTATAACCTTTTCATGGTTACTGGGTTGTGAGACCTGGCGAATTTTAGCTGGTTTTGTGCATGTGAATTTCAGTGGCTTAAGGACAAAAGTCTCTGGTGCCTGGTTCAGTTTCTTCTGCATGGACTACTGGCGTTGGTAACAATGTGGGATCTCTGGGGATAGTGTTTGTTCAAAGACACTTGCTTGTTTATTTGTGGACACTGAATAAATGACTTCTGAAAAAGTAAGAGAATGCATATCCATAAATAAGAAGTATTCTGGGGAAGTCTTGAGGTGGCTTTCACAGGTAAATTTTTTCACATATGCTCTTTTTTATTGCATTGAAGATTTCAGGTTGGTCCTGTCAGATCTCAGAGTTCATACAGGGCATTCCTATGTGCACTAGGAGACAGAGTGCAGGAATAGTATTTCTTTCATGTTTTCAGTGACAGTCTAGAAGAATATCCCCCCCCCACTCCTTTTAGTAAACAGTTTTGGAGCCGACAGCTTAGTTTTTTGGTTGGGTTTTTTTGTTTGTTTATGGTTTTGTGTGTTTGTTTTTGTTTTTTGTTAAAGTTGGAATGAAAATTTTCCTTTTCCTCTGCTAGACATCCAGAGTAGTCCTTCAGTTTGTTATCCACAGTTCCAAGAAAGAGAAGCAATTCAGTGATTCCCCAGAGAAGTTGTGGAATCCCCAACCCTGGCAGTGTTCAAGGCCAGGTTGGATGGAGCTCTGAGCAACCTGGTCTAGTGAAAGGTGTCTCTGCCCATGGCAGGGGGGTTGGAACGAGATGATCTTTAACGTCCCTTCCAACCCAAACTGCTTTGTGATTGTTTATAAAGATAAGCAACAAGAGGCAATAAAGAAAGAAGTTGGTGACTGAATTGTGCCCTCAATTTTTCAACAGAAAACTATTTGGAAAGTTATGTGACTCTGCACAAGGGTTCTGTAAAACTTACTTTGTCTTTTTTTTTTCTCTGTTAACAGAAAACAAGATGACAGAGCCCCAAAACCTGAATCCAGCAAAACGGTACAGGAGGCAAGACTGGCCTGGGGAGCTGTATGAAAATGGCTCTTTTTATTTTGCCAAGAGACATTTGATTGAGAAGGGCTATTTGCAGGTTTGTGCTTCTGTTTCTCCTGCTCTTCAGAATTATACACATTTTACTCTTGTTGTAGAGGTTCTGAATTCAATACTGTATTTTGATTTCTGATGCAGTCAATGTGAAATAACAGCACCTTGTTCTCATAACAGTTTGCCTATTATTTGTAACTTAGCAGGGCAAACTGTAGCTAGGGCAGTTCCAGTTACAGCATCCTCCACAACAAACAAATTTGTACAAATAATACTGTGCAGTATATCCCTATAACCCTAGAACCATACAGTGTGGAGTTTCACATCAGTTCACCAGCATATCGTGTAGTTCATTTTAGTGCTACTAAGGGTGTGAAACTGAGTTTCATGCAGTGTCGTAGCCTTGTCATAATCAATCAATTTGTATTTTCAGCCAGTTTATTCTTATGCTAATTTTGTACTGTAATTTTAACACTCTTTTCCCCTTTCCTCATGTTTACATCCCAGTGTAGTAATGCAGAACAACATTGGGGTGTTGTGGGTGTTTTTCTAATTGAAATTATTTTTTGCTTAACATCTAAACAAAGACTTATTCATAATCTTCCTAAGTAAATGCTAAAAGTATTACTATTTTGCTGATTAAGAGAAATCTGGGGAAATGAATGTGATGTAATTACTATAATGCATACTTTCTCTAGCTGTAAAATGAAAATACTTCTTAACGCTTGCCTGCAGAAGATTCCTTCAAAATTTTTAGTTCTGTGTAGCTGCCAAAACCATCATTATTGATGGTTCACTTCTATATAATCTACTGTGACCACTGTGTAACCAGACACTTGGCTTTCATTACAGGGTACTGAATTGTACAGTTTTGTATTTGTGCTAAGCCAAGCAGAAAATTTGAATGGCTTCTGTTTCACTTAGGGTGGTAAAATGGCCTACTATGAAATGCGTGCAGAGCACAGTGTGGATATTGATATAGACATTGACTGGCCTATTGCAGAGCAGAGAGTATTGAGGTAAAAAGCACTTTTTACTCCTTTATTTCTTTGATAGCGCTCGTTGTTTCAGAGTGTGGTCACATGAATTCATAATGTATGTAATGTAAGAAATCAAGATCAAAGATAACTGGGCAACTATTTCTACCCGTAGTTTTTTCCTATCTTTGTTGAAATTAAGTGAATTACCTTTGTTGTATTGTGGATTGTTTGGGGTTTTTTGTTTGTTTGTTTTATTGGTTCTTTTTTGGTTTTAAAGTTTGGCTTGGTGAGAAGTGTAAGCCCCACTATAGCAATGTTAGCATCATCTCTGGCTTTTCCAGCTGGGGTGTCCCAGACTTCCATGGTCTGGACCACACTGATACACATGAACGAGAGTGTTTGTGCAGAAGGCATGAGCTGATTCCATCTTGTCACCTGCCTTTTCTTTGCAGCTGCTCTGCACTTCTCTAAGGAAATAATGAGTGGGTTTGCAGTATATTTTCTGTGCATTTTTCATCCTTTACTCCACTTTAGTTTTACCTCCCAAAATGGTACAGTGCATGAACTTCTACACTAAGGAAATAAATTTTATCCTAATTTTTAAATGGGCAATGCAACTGAGCTGTCTTTTGGATTGTTCTGTTTGTTTCTTTGAAGAGGGAAAATATAGTTGGAGAGTGACAGTGATGGGAAAAGGCATTAGAAAAGAACTTCAAAACTGATTCTTCTGTCTGAAGATCACAGTTGTATTTCAAATATTTGGTTTTGGAGTGTGCAAAAACTTCCACCCTAAAAAGATAACTTCTTTGTCTAGCTTTGGATATTTTGGCAAAGAGCCACTGAAGGAGGTGAAGCTGCTGGTTTGCAGTATTGAAGGATGCCTGACAAATGGTCGCATTTATGTGACAGAAGATCACAAGGAAATGGTCTCCTATGATTATAGAGATATTGTTGGCATTGATCTGTTAAAGAAAAGAGGAATCCAGGTGGGTGTTGTTCTGAAGTGTGAAGTTTTATGTCTCATGTAACCTGAACATTAAAAGATTCTAAAAACTTGTATTCTTGCAGCATGTAAATTGAAGTTTCTTCATGGTACTTGTGATCAAGCAGCACAATGTATTGGGTGGGACAAATGTTGTTCTCAGATCCCTCACAGGAAAATAAGTGTTTTGAGAAATCTCGATCACAGTAGCTGCAGCATCTTCCTCTGAATCATAGAATATCTGGGTTGGAAGGGACCTTAAAGATCATCTTGTTCCAAGCCCTGTGCAATGTGCAGGGACATCTTTCACTAGAACCAGGTTGCTCAGAGCCCTGTCCGACCTGGCCTTGAGCAATTCTAGTGATGGAGCATCCACAGCTTCTCTGGGCAACTTGTTGCAGTGCTTCAACACCCTCACAGTAAAGAATTTCTTCCTAATACCTAATTAAACCTACTCTCTCTGTCAGTGAGAAGCCATTCTCCCTTGTCCTGTCACTACATGCTCTTCTGAATAGTTTCTATCCATCTTTCTTGTAGGTTCCCATCAGGTACTGAAAGCCTGCAATTAGGTTACCCCTAAGCTTTCTCTTCTCCAGGCTGAACAATCCCAATTTTCTCAGCATTTTTGTCATGGAAAAATACAGGAAGAAATTTTTATGGTGCTTTGCTAGCACCAGTCATATTCTGTGTAGTCTAGCCACTCATTATTTATAAGTAACTTCATCAAGCAGGAATATGTTGTTACCTCTTGACAACAGAAGAGGAAGAAATTTCCAGGTAAATTGGTTGGTTTGTCGTAGATCACCCGGGATTGTTGCAAAGAGGGGAAATCAAACCCTGAACACTTTTGCCTGCAAAATTGTTTTAATCGTAGCTTATGTGCCTTGAAGATATAAGAATCCTGTGTAAATAAAAAACTAAACCAACACAGACTGTAACATGGCTACTTTTATTATTATCATTATTAGTAGTACTACTAAATTCTGCTGATCCGAATCTTTGCTTACATTTATGTAAAATTAGCCTCCTGACTATTTTCGGTCTGTGCTGCTGCCTTTGTTACAGCTAGAAGACTTATTTTGGGTAAGAACTAAGTTTAGATTTAGGCTGCCTTCAAAGAGCCTTAACTCAGTTCTGATGCAGTGGAAAACAAAGGTAGCTATGCCCCAAGTAGACTTCTTCAGGTACATTTTTGGAGTCTGTATTGCAGGATTTTTTACAACAGGTTATATGAGACTTTCATGACTTACTTTGCAGCTGTTGCCTTGGGGCTGTGAAATGGAGTAGATGGTTTTTCAGCACTCCCTCAGCTTCATTTTCTGTGAGGTAAAAGGGGAAGGAAGCTTGCAATCACGGTTTTGTTGCTCATGGGAGCCTCTTTCCATATTTGTTTTGACTTGGAATATTTAATTAAAAACCTCCTGGTTTTTGTGCTGCACTTCATTTATTTCTAGTATATGTTGCTGATACAGTCTTGCTTTGTTCATTCTGTGCTTAAAATCAAGGCCAACCATTTGTTAGTATTTAAAAGCAATTAGGGAATATAAGTTTGTCCACATTTTGGACAAGAAAACTTGGAGGAGTTGCATCTGAGATTTCTAAAAATCCCACTGCACTAATGTTCTGGTTTCAGCTTCCCTTGTACATAATTTCTGAAATTTCAAGTTGGAATGAACTTCCAGAGATAAATGTGCTGTGCTATTCAGTCATTTAGTGTTCTTTTGGTGCTCTGAAGTGCTACTGTGAATAATGTTATTAAGGAGAGCAGTCAAGAAAAATACTTCATAATGTTCTACTTTTACAAATATTACAGAAATCCTCCTTGGGAATTCTTTTGTTTCATAATTAATTAGATGATACTGCACTAGATAGTCAACATTCCACTGTACTGTGATATCCAGTATTTTATTTGGTACATGTTGCATTTAAAAAGGAAAATGTAAATTTCTTTTTTTAATATCAGGAAGGGGTACAGAATGGTGTTTTACTTTCCCAGAGCAACTTCAAGACTGTGATGTGGGTTTGGGTGTTAATCACTTGTGCTCTGAGTTCTGATTGAAGAAACTGGTTATTCAGTGCTTTTCTGATTCCTGAGAGAGCTTCTATGAGCAAAGCTACTTTTTTCCTTATAGGGAATCAATTTACATGTCTTATTTCTTTGTATGTAGAATTTATTCTAAGTTGATTTTATTTTCATAGGTTCGACTCATCTCTGAAAGAGATTGTTCAAAAACACTGTCAGCCATGCAGCTGGGATGTGTAGCAAAGGTTAGTGCAACAAATAAATTACAGGTTCTGAAGGACTGGCAAGAAGACATGGGTTTGAGCTGGAAAGAAGTTGCTTACTTAGGTGAGTTCCTGTTTTGTTGGTAGTAAAACTTCATATAGTATAGACAAATACAAACTTCATAGTCCTGCTGAGCTTCGAAACACTTTTCTTTTTGTCAATACACTGAACTTAATGGGATTCATGTGCAAATTGCAGCACACAATCACCAAAAGCAGGTATGTATTTTAAGACTTGTGCCATCTAAATGTTAAAGGCATTGATGAATCAGTGTGTAATTCGGTAAGGGAAGTTTTAGCTGCTTTTCTAATGGGATTTATGAAAGCTTTTGATATCACAGAAGCATACAGTTACAGCTGACAATTTTGAACTGATTCTAATACATTTCAGATGAATATTGTATAGATTATGTTCTGAAATGGAAACTAGAAATGGGCAGATTAAAATGAAAGCCAGTATGACTCTGTACTAAATTGTATTTCAGAAACAGATTAAGTTTAGGGTCCTGCAAATGCTTATTCAGTTGCTTACATAATTTTACTACTCCTAAAAGTACTGTTCCCTTGCCTGAAGATTTTGAAGTGCGATCAGCATCTACATGGATCACAAAGATCTTCTGACAACTGACTCACACATGCAACGTGCTGTTGAGCTGCTGAGATGAACGTTTTGGCAAAAATACAAATTTAAAAAAAAACCCAGATTAATGCGTGCACAGAAAAATACTGAGTTTGCTCAGCCTTTCCTCTCTGTGATGTTTTGCCTTGTCTGTCATCTTCTCTAATAGGAAATGAAGAGTCTGATGTGGAATGCCTGAAGCAAGCAGGAATGAGTGGTGTGCCTGCTGATGCTTGTGCAGCCGCTCAGAAGGCCGCTGGTTACATTTGCAAGAGCAGCGGCGGCTGTGGGGCCGTGCGGGAGTTCGCAGAGCACATATTCCTGTTGTTAGCAAAAGTGAACTCTGCAAGGAAGCAAATGGGAGAAATGAGTTCAGCAGAAAAGGAAATGGGGGGAAATGAGAACAGCAGGAGAGGAAATAAGGAACGAATGAAAAAGGAGTAACGCCGTTGGTCATTCCGGCTGTTCTTCGTCTCCTCTTCCTCCTTCAGTAAATGCCAAAGGAGAGCTCTCAAGTTTTACATCGAAATAGAGTTAAAAAAACTCTAATTTAAGGTCCCGCTTTAAGTGCTGGTATTCATAATTGTATGCTGATCACATTCATGAATTTTTTAAAAGCCATTTATAAGCAATAGAAGGAATGTTGCAAAAGGTAGCAGATCTACTGTAAATCTCCTCCTAATCATCACGCCTCTCCTCCAGGAGTGATATGTCTTTATATCATAATCAGAATGTTTTCAGGGATCAATGATTTTGCATGACTTGAGGGTTTGTAATTCAAATTTTAAAGAAAAAAATTCTGTCAGTTTTGCTCATGTGGTTTATACTTCTTCTACCAAAAGTCAGCATGGTGTTGTGGTTGTGTGATTGCATTTTACAGAATTTTTTCCCTAGTAGGGAAGAGTTTTAACATATACTGGAGAGGTCAGGTGTAAAGTACTATCAGACTTCTTCCTGTATTTTTAAAACACAGCTCAGTTCCTGGAAAACCAGTTAATATTAATATTACTTAAGAAAAGCACTTAAGCATGTGTTCAGTTTTAAGCTCATAAATAATTAAATCACATTTGGAATTATGCCTCTTATCTTTGAGTCTGTTTATAATGGGTTTTATTGAAGCTCTTAAATTAACATACCCAAATGTTTTGCCAAATTTGGATTTAAGTTCCCCATTGACTTTGAGGTCTTTGCAGAAACTCAGTTTCTTTCTATGAAGACTTTATGGCTACCACTAATGGTCTAAAGCCAAGCAAAACTCTTTTAAGTTTATTGTATGGAAAAGTATCTGCTGTTTAAAAAAACCCCAAATCATGGTTGATTGTGGGTTTATATAAAATATATGTACAGCATGCTAAAGCTGTTTTATGTGTATTTATGAAAAATAGGATTTGTATTGTACCATGCAAATACAATAGTATTTATCAGTGAGTCAAGTTCTGTCTTGGCCTCTGCTAAAAAATAAAAAATACCCATGCTGCACAGGCAATTACTACTGAGGTGAGTGATAATGGCTTGTCATTTTATTTTACTTCCCTGCTAAATAGAAACTCACAGTATAATATCACTCAGTATATTGGCCTCTGATTAACTTGGTGTTTACTTCCTTTCACAAAGCCAAAATAAGGCAGTGATAAATTTCAGTCCAATCTACAGTTAACAGGCTTATCAGGGCTAACAGATGAATTGCTTACTGCACTAACCAGCTCTAAGTTATCACTGAAGTATTTCCTTTCTGTCAGGTTTTAGGGCTCTGGATACATCCCATGGACTTTGATAACAGGAGAGCCACATTTTTAATAGAACTGTGGACTTTCGTATGGGTACCTGAATTATTTTAGTTGCACAGACTATGTTGTAAAGCTTCGAAAGTCCAGATTGGATAAACTATTCATGTTTGATAATACCATACAGAAATTGGCCAAGTTTTTGGTTACTTCACCTTGTCATCGTTAACTTGATGACTTTGATTGTGGGAGCAATTCCCTGTGAATAGATGACTTTAAACAAGGTGACTGTGAAGAATTTGATCCCCATGTTATTTGTATTAGAGAAAGCATGAAGCATGAGTAAGTGCAATTATATTAGCAATATGAGTTGGCAGTGCTGTTTGTAGCTTATTGTTTGAGTCAAGAACTCTTCCAGTGTTTCAGCTGCTTGCTGAACGTGCTACATGTACTGCACCCAAAAATTCTAAATGTATCAAAAATAAATACAGAAACACCTTCATATGAGTGTTGGTAACGAGCAGAAAGAAATGGTAGCTGATATATAAATATTTTCACTGTGATAAATTCTTGTTTAGAAGAACATGGTGTAATCTTATGCTGGGAAGAATATGAGAAGAGCTCTAGAGAGTATTTACAACGTAAAGCCTGTTTGAGGATAGGGGACATGCATGATCCTACTGCCTGAAAGGTTCAAATTACTCCCCTTAGTTTTATGAAAGATCCTCAATCATATGAAGAATTTAGGGGTCACAGAGGCAGAGATGATGAGAATTACTCTGTCACCTTAAAGATCAAATCCCAAGTCCCAGGCAGGCTTCAGATGTGCAGTGTGTTTTGCCAATGCCTGCTGTTTCAGTTCATGTCATGGCACCACGATTGCCCTTGATTAGAGGGGTGTAGTTCAATCAGTAGATTTCAGTGGTCACTTTTGTTATACTGGGCTAATTTTGAAATAATCTCTTTTAGTCCTGTGAAAACTTGTTTGTTTTTTTTTTTAACTTCAAAATGCCTAGTATATTCCAAAGAAAATCTCAGATGATGTGGGCTGTTTTATCATGATTATGTGAAACTGAAAAAAAGGAAGCTTGTAGTAATTTGTAATAAGCTATTATAAAAAAAATAGCTGATTACCTGAAATTTTAAATAAACAGTTTTCTGTAGTCTTTTGGGTAGAGAATGGCTGTGGGGTGGTTTTTAATGAGTTTCTGTACTGTAAATAATATGCTTCCACGTTCATGTGCCACACAAATGGATTATACCGATGGAAGTGGACAAATTTAATGCCGAAATTAATCACATTTACATACATTTACACACAGTTACTCAAAATATTTATCTCATTCTGGTCTTGGAGGCAAATCTTGAGTGTTTTGAGTGTGGTTATACCCTCTTGAATATACTTCTTCACTTGCCTGCGTTCCCTGTTTTCAAATAACTGGCTTCACAGTGCTGTGTGTTTTGTGTCCAGGTTTGTGAAAAGGTGGGATTCATCTCTCTGTTTAATGAGCTGTCAAATCCAGCCCAATATTTCTATAGAAAGATAGTCTTGTAAATTTGAGCAGAACACATTGAGAATTATTTGGCAGGAGTGTCTTAGAGAGATTCTTGTTGTGGTTGGGCTTTGAGATCTTTCCTGCTTTTTGGCTGCTTGGTGGCTCTTGCCAGGAGAGTTGAGGAGAGGGAAGAATATCCAGTTATACAGTAACTGTATCATTACATTTGCTAACTTTGACACAAGAGGTTAGCCCTTCACCTACTTCTGACTCCATTAATTTATTTTTATCTCATCTATCTCTTATTCAGTGTATGTTTCTCTCCAGGTCCTGTAGGGTGATGCAACAAGTTCTGACCTTAGTTCATTTCACATCAACACAAATCACATATATCTCAGCCTTTTGAAGTCAGAGATATTTTTTGGTAGTTGATGATTTCAAGTTCTTAATACTTTTAAACCTTGAACACATATTAGTTAACTAGTTTTACCAGAGAAGGTAAAGATGATTTGGGAAGGTTTTTGGTTTTAATTATTTTTTTTCTGTTTGTGTGTTCTTAAATCACTATTTCTTTTTTTCCAGAAATAACTCCAAATGAGTCTATTTACACCCAGCAGGACCAATCATCCTAAATGTCACCACTACCAAGAGCAATAATACTGTGTGCAAGAAAAACACTATTATGTATGAATCTGATGCAAAAATGAGTTAGAAAATCTTGTCACTAATGCACTTGTCTGAAAAAATTTTGTATAGTAGGTTTGTTTCTCTCTCTTGTTATGGGACAGATTTGTATATTCCCTTTTTTGATCCTAGATATGTTTTTTTTATGTGGCTCTGGTTCAATAGAGCATTCCCACTGCTTTAGAGATACTGGAGGAAAGAGAAACTGGGAGCAGTCCCAGTTCTGGAGCTCCCACACCTCTGTAGCATGACAGACCACTTCCCCTAAAAGAGATGCCATTAGTTTCATCTTGCAGATGGAAGGATTTATTAATTATTTATAAAAGTAGATGTTAAAGGGAATGAGCAGTGTGCAACGTGGAGGCAATGCTACCAAGTCATTCAGGTTAAAAGATTAAAGAACGGGGCTGAGGAAACCGAAGATTTACATATAAGGTAAGCTTAGTAAGGTAAGCTTAATAGAAACACAATCCTAATGTCTTATATATAAAGATAGCCATTTTTTATATGAGCAGTTATAATGCAGAAAAATACCCAGTGGTTTGAAGTGTATGCTAGCAGTTAAAAAAGCAGACTAAATTTTAGGAATTATTAGAGAAAGAATATATAACAAATAGGATAAAAATAATTATTCCACTTACATAATGATTTGCGGGTATCTCAAATACTGTGTGTTTTGTTTCTTATGTGTTGAAAAGGTTGTAGCACTCGGAAGGGTTGTGGGAGGATAAAATGGATGACTGGAGAAATGAATCAGGCCCAGTGGGAGCAGTAGCCAAGTCAGAATTCTCCACTTTAAAATAAGGATGAGGGAAGGTAGTTGTGTTGAGGTATCTGTAAAATTAAGGACGGAAAGCTATGGAAAGACCGCTGAAGAAAGTAGTGGTGGCCAAAAACAGATGCCTGAGGAATATAAATTTGCCATGTTGTATTTGGTAGGGCTTTCCAGTTTTCCTGTGGCATCAAAACGTTTGCAGCTCATGGATTTCCGAATTCGAGAATGGCTCACAGACATTAAATGAACCTTGGCACGCCTAAAACAGGCTTTGGCCATGTGTTTCATGAGTCTGACACCTGATACAGTTCCTCTGCTTCTGAACCTTGGTTTCTACCCCTTATTTCTTGTGTGGGTAACGCCCAACTGCATTTTATTTATATTTCACAATGTGTGTTAGTGGTTCATTCTATGTCAATGTGTAGTTTTGACACAGTGAGAAAATCAGGACATGGCATTACTGTTACCAATAGGAATTAATCATCTAATCTTAAAAACTCATTGAAAACAGGGCAAAAGTGCACAGAGAACTTTGTAAGAGTATGATGACATCACATGAATCAATGGTCATTAATACAGTAAATTGCTTAGGAAGCTCTTTGACAAAATGTACTCAGGCTGGGAGAACACTCAGGAAAATTCCATGCTTTTCCTGGTGGTTCAGATACATTGCAGGCAAGTTGCTGGGCTAAACTGATGTACATCTGAGCTAGCATGGTTACTCTTGTATTAAACATGGAGACAGTCTCTCCAGGGATGTAACTTTTAACAAAGGCTATAGTTGCACAGCCTTTTATTGCTTTTACAGTCCGTGTAAGATTTTGACTATTTTTTCTCTCCCACCTTTTTTCCCTGGTTATACTTTGTCCACAGCAGCTCAGTATCAAGTTGGAAGGGGGTGCATCACTGATCCTTTTGAGCAGTGAGGCCCAACTGAAGTGTTTCAATTGATTAAGTGAAGCTGGGTCTAAAAGGCTGGAGATGAAGTAATCTGATTTAGACAAATATAAATGACTCCCATTCATTTGACCTAATGACATTAAAGATATCTTCCAAATACTTATCATGATCTACCTTTGGATTAATTCTGTTCTCTTGGAGTGCTGCCTCTTAAAGGACGTGGAGCTGCACATGTGGAGTACGGACGAGTTTTATGGGCAGCAGTTCTGATAACTCACGAACAAGCCCCTAGTCCTGACTTGGCACATCAGTATTTCAACACCCTGGTGTCTGTGTGAACTTTGTTTAGGGTAAGTACACATCTAATGGGAGCCAGAGGATTTTAGGGTGAAGTTTCAGGTGCTGCATGGCCATGTGGAGAACTAAGTGGATCTGTGCCTTGCAGTGCCTCTGCCCCTGCTGAGAAGCAGGGGAATTTGAGTCTAGGCTGCTCCAATTAAGCTGCTGTCATTGGTGTCAGAGCTTGGATTGTGCAGAGATGTATGACCTAGCTCTATATTGCATTTCATTTACCTGACAATGAAGTCCTGGTGTACCTTTTTTTTTTTTAATTTTAATTTAGGTAAATCCTTAATTCAGACAGTAGGCAATGCTGTAAACTAATTCCTCATCCTTCTGAAGTAGCTAGGCAACTAACTGCAGTTTAAACAGGACAGTGATGCCTTCCTGCCAGATTGATAGGTCTAAATGGTTTACCAAGGTCAGAAATTACAGAGAACAGCAAACCACAGTTATCCTTTGTTTTAGTGAAAGCCTTTGCAGGCAGAAAAGGAAATTCTGCTTTTATTACTCCTGTCAGTATTTGCTTAGCTATGAATGCTGTCATCTGTACCATCATCCTGTCTCTACTGTGGCTGCTGGTAGATTCTCAGGGCAATCATTCCTGGGTACATCCAGGGTACATTTGGTGAGAGCCCACTGGCAGTGCTGCATCCAGCACAGGAAACAGTGACCTGTTGGAGCGAGTCCAGAGGAGATCACCAAGTTGATTAGAGGAACGAAGCACCTCTCCTGTGAGGAAAGGCTGAGAGAATTGGGATTGTTCAGCCTGGAGAAGAGAAGGCTTTGAGGTGACCCAATTTTGGCCTTCCAGTACCTGAAAGGTGCTTACAAGATAGATGGAGAGGGACTATTTACAATGTCCTGGAGTGACAGAACAAGGGGGAACGGCTTAAAACTGACAGTAGGTTTAGATTTAGATTAGATATTAGGAAGAAATTCCTTACTTGGTATGGTAAGGCACTGGAACAAGTTGCCCAGAGAAGCTGGGGATACCCCATCCCTGGATATGCTTAAGTTCAGGTTGGATGGGGCTCTGAGCAATCTGGTCCAGTGAAAGGTGTCCCTTCCCATGGCAGGGGGGTTGGAACTAGACAATCTTGAAGGTCCCTTCCAACCCAGGCAAATCTGTGATTTAATGATCCTATGATCCTTGCAGACACTGATGTTCAGAACTGGACTTTAGGCTGTGCATCAGGTACCCAGGGACAGACCTGCTCTCCTCAAACCTGTGGCTGATTCCCTTCAGAGTCTGCTTCTGCTTTTGAGCCCTGCGGCATCCTGTGAAACTGTGCAGGGCTTTGCAGTTAGAGCACTGCAGTCAATAGATGTCAGTGAAGAACAAACATTCCTGTTCCTCTCTGAGGCAGTGCTGCTTCCCTTTCTACTGGCACAAAGCCTGGATGGCTGCAGAGCCCACCCAAGAGTGGACGTGTCCCTGGTCCTGCGGGGTTGCAGGCATTTCCACGACAGCTGTTTCTTCCACCTATCATTGGCCTGCAGGACCAGGTTGGAAAGAGGCCCAAGGGAGGCACAGCAATGTAATTGGTGACTTCATGCCTTTTTGTTTCTGCTTTATCGCTCAAGCAGCTGTTGGGTGGGTGCTCCCACTCACTTCCTTCTGGGGCCGTGAGGTGCTGTTGCTCCTCCCTGCTTGGCCCAGGAGAGGCTTCTTCTGTGTAATGCCAGGAAGAGCAATGTCTCATCACACACCCCCTCAGTCTGTCCCAACAGTTTATCTTCTCTGGTAGGCAGGACAGGTAAATGGATTTACCTGTAACAGGGGAGGACTGTCTCCTATCAAAGTTAATAGAGCAGTTGCTGCATAATTATTTGGTTTCCAGTGCCTTGAAAAAAGGATTGTTGTCATCTGTGAGGCTGGAACTGGTGAAAGAGTGATACAATCACTCAGTCTTCTTCCCTCCTTTCTGAAAGTTGTCTTTCAGTGATTGCCTTCACTGACACACTCAGCCCTTTCCATTAGGCATGATTCCTGCTGTCCCATCTGCACTGAGTCTGTGCAGCAGGAGTGCCCTTGGCTCTTTGTCTGTCTTTCTCTCTCATCGACTGGTCATGAACCAAACCCCACAGAAGTTCCTTCTTATCCTCCACCTTTACCTTTCTGTCTGGCAGCTGGTTACGAGCAAACCACTATTTTGATCCCTTGAGCATCTCTACTCAGACCCGATGCAGAAAACCACCAACTGAACTCCTGACCTGAGTCTTCTCTTTTGCCGTGACTTCTGGCTTCGAAGATTAACAGAACTAGCTCAGATTCCTTACCCTGTCTGCTCTCCCCACTTCCCCAGCATAATTTTCATCTTCTACGAGGTGTTCCTGAAGCTATCTGGTGAGACTTTCCCTCAGTCATTGTTTTCCTCCAATAAACTGCTTTAGGCATCACTCATTGTATCAGAACTAATTTGACTTAAATTCAGGTTGCTGGGATGTTTACCTGAGCACCTTTTCTTCTCTGAGGGCTACTTTAGAAGATAATTGTGTGATGCTTTCAGGGAAGAGGTTCATAAAGCAAGGCCTGGAATTCATGTGTTCCTCTCACAAGAGTTCTGACCCTCCAAATGCTCTGCTTTCTTTTTATCTGACTCAAAGGTCAGATAAGCCTGGGTAACAAGCAAAGCAGGTTAACTTCAACAAGAGCAGCTGGAAGCCCCATGTCTCAGCTCTGATGGAGTAAATGTTTAATCCTGCCCTTTCTACTTAAATCAATCTTGAGCTGTGACTCAGGAAGGAAAAATATGTTACCAGAGTAGGAAAGCAGTATTGTAAGCATTTCCATGCAATAGAGATTGCACAGGGCTTTATTTCTTCCAAACCTAGTATTGCTGTGCTCTAGGTACATTTTGTACCAGTGTTTTTATATTTTGTAGGGCTGAAATGTCACCCTCTGCAAACATTTTAACTGCCATATGAGAAAAGAAAGAAAACCAGAGAGGGGAGGAGACATTTTTACAACATCTTACTATGAAAGTTTTGAAAGTTCTTTACCATCCCCACAACCTGCCAGAATGATTTGTGGAACCAGACTGACAATTCTTTGAAAAATTCCGTTTGAATTCCTCTACTACAGTCATGGAAAGGAGAGGGGCAGTAGTGGCACGGTGGGGAGAGAAAAGAGGATGAAAGAAATGGTAGGCGTAGCAACTGCTGGGAAACCCTAGTTGCCAATAGCATCATGTACCCCCACCCTTTAGGAACAGTGCCCAGCCTGGGTTTCTGGACCTCTGACATAGCTCTCTGCAGCTGCACCAGGCTGTACCTGTGCAGGATGGACCTGCTACCCTGTAGTTTTCCTGGCAGAAGCTTTTAATCACTACCAACCAGTTGCTACCCTCTACCTTGGGTAGAATGCTGTATTGAAGTGTGCCTGTGTTGAGCAAAGCTTGAGTAAAACTGCGTTTTCAGACCGAAAGTGCTGTCTTTGTATGAAGTGTTACTGAGCAGAGCTTTATTTTGGAAGTCATTTAAGTCTGCTAGAGGTCAGCGGGCAAAACACTTGCTGCATTATAGCCTAATATAATCCCTTCAGCCAATTTTCAGGAGTGTATGCTTTAACCCCCTATGGATCCACGAGATGTGCCCTCGTCCTGTCCCTTCACATACAGTTTAATATTGTGAATATACATGTAAATGCTGCTTACACCTCAGTCTTAATGCAGTTAAACTTGTTTGCAAACTTAATTTGCCCAAGGACCCTTTGGCTTTTTTCCATACTCGGAGGGCCAGAAAAAAGTAAGTCTTTCAGTAAAATGTTCAAGCTTCTTCATTAACTGATTTCTTGCCATTTATTAATTGTGGAATAATAACACTGAAAGGAGGGCAACGGTGGTCCGTGGCGTTTTGGAGGGAGAGAGAATGATTTTAATGTCAGAGGAGCAAAGTAGCATATCTAAATTCCGATTTCCAAGTGGGTCATTTGCAAAATGCAGTGCTAAGGGCAGCATCTCCCTTAAGTTGTGTTGAATTGCAGATGGCAAGGGACTGTGGTCAAACAGGCTTTTCTCTTGGTCTCTCCAACACGTAACTTCAGTACCAGTTATGCAGATGCAAAATCAGTAGGTGTTGATGCACAGGCCAGGTATGAAATGAAAGGGCCTTGTGGCAAGTGTGAAGTGTGTGGCTGGGGAGAGATGAGTATTTCACTAAATAAGGCAATACCTCAGCTTTGCAGCCTCATAACTGTGTGGGTGGGGAAAACTAGTCTGGGGAGAAGAGTCCTTAAAACCAGCCTTCTAAGCAAAGGTGAGGACACAAAAAACACATCGTGGAATAAATCAGAAGAAAAATCTTCACTGATTTCTTAGGATAGTCCCTTGGATGTGAACACAGACAGCTGATTATTGGAAAATCTACCTTATCAGGGCAGGGTAAATAAATAAGTCGTGTTCGGATTAAGCTGTCCCTGTCGTGTTTTGTTTACCACAGTGGAGCTGTTGAGTTCTATTGCACAAGGACTGTGAAGTAAAATGGGTCTCATCAAAACGCTGGAAACAGACATTTTGCAGAAAGAAAGGCGAATGGAAAAAACCCACTTTTATAATTACCCAGCGTATGCTGCAGAAATTTATTTGGATTTATAGCAATTGCATTTAAAACACAAACACCATATAGTATCTAACCCAGAAATAACTTACACCAAAGAACTACATATAATAAAAAAAAAGAAACATTTTTGTAAACAGACTTCACCACAGATTGTCAAATACACAGCTGCAGTGTCAATAACAGCGTCCAGTAAGATAGGCAGTTCGTAAATCATGGTGCATTACAGAAAGAGGGAGTCTGGAGTCAAAATTTTGGTAATTTTCTTATGAAGTTTCTTTAGGCTTTTTCTATCTTGTTTCTTACAGGTTCCTTTTTTTTTTTTTCTTTTTTTTTTCTGTAACATCATGAGTAAAATTCCTAATTCAGATCTAAGAAGTCTGTTCATATCCCCTCAGAGCAAAAGAAAAAATAAATAAATGATGAAGTAAAATGGGTCTGACACCTGACTCTGTAAAACTGTATACATCTGCCTGCTGAGAACTGAGTTCAGCTCTGCCATTGTGTCAGAATTTTCCTGTCCTCAAAATCTCACGTTTACAATCCTTTCTATTGGAAGCATTACAAACTAAATGGGAGTGCCCATTCAGAATTTCCCACCAGTGGCTCTATGTACGTTTGTTGTTAACTGCATATTGTCCTTCACGTGGAGTCAAACTTCATAGGTTAAACATTTTGCCATCTTGCTGAGTTTCATCTTCTCATTAAATATCTCCTCAAACCTCCTATTCTGCTTTGGAGTGAAATGGTTCTTCCAATCACCAACAACACCTAGGAGAGCAGGAACAGAAAGAACAGTGAAGCTAGCAATATTTGAAGCAAAAAATTATTTAAAGGCAGCCCAATTTTGTTAATGTTGCACTTGGCACAGATTACTAATATATTCTTAACCACAGTCTCTGTGGTAGGTTATGATTGTGAGTTGTCTTATTGATCTGGTGAGACTCTGGTGGAAGTAGCTGGATTGTCATCCATAAAGGCTGTTAAACCCACAGCCTCGGACCCGGTTGGTGCCAACAAAAGTGGTGGATGAAGAGCAGAAGGTTTCCAAGGTGAAATTAGAGCTCCTGGTGATCTCAGCAGGGAGACATCTTGCCATGTCTTAGTTATGTAGTTAAGAGTCTCTGCCTGGGTTTTTTCACAGTCAGTAGAGGAAATCAGAGAATCATGGAATGGTTTGGGTTGGAAAGGACCTATTCCAGTGCCTCACTACCGCTCACTACCTCTCACTACCATAAAGAATTTCTTCCCTACCCTCTTTTAGTTTAAAGCCATCCCCCCTTGGCCTATTACTACATGCCCTTGGAAATGAAATTGTTGGGATTTGTCAATATTTTCATCATATCTTCATCAAAGTTCACTGTTTTAGAAAAATGTATCTGTTCTTTTTTTCTTTTTTTTTACTGACAGATTGTATTTTGGGATTTGTTTCAGCTCACTGGTAAAAATATTCTGAATTAACGGAAGGTACCATTTCCCTGTTTATTAATTGAAACAACTCTTGGTTTCAAAATGTCAATTCCTACTCAAAAAACAACTAAATAAATATAATCAAAATCCATGTAAACATTATCCAGCTCTGAGGAAGCTTCTCAAATGTCAGAAGCAAGAACACAGCTTCTGCAGATATCTTAAAGTCATATTTGAACTAAGCACTGTGGAAGATTTTCCCGTGGATTCCAGCTTGGTCAGAGTCTGGAGGCTACCTGTGACCATTCTTTTGTTGTTGTCATTTGTTGTTGTCATTTGTTGTTGTCAGCATATTCCTTTCTCAGGAGTATTTTCATAAGATAGAAGGTGATAAGAGCAGTCTTATTCAGAAGGAATGTGTCTAGCTCTTTATTTTTCTAGTAAACTAACTGACCTTTGCAGGTGGTGTCAGAGGAGACATGTTGTAAAGGAGTAAGGTGGTCAACGTTTTTAGATAAAAAAAAACATAGATAAAGAGTAATGCTGAATGAACCTTTCCTTTTAGCTCAACAGCCCCCATTTCTTGGAGCAATATTAGTCAGACTGTTGTTCCAGCTCCTCTGGGCTTCTCTAAGTCTGCATGTGCAGTCAGAGAACTTAGAAAGAAAGTGATTTTTAAGGGGGCTTCAGATTGAACAATCTTGTCACTGCTTCCCAGGGCTGACCCAAAGTGTCACTACACTCTGGGAAAGACCTTGGCCTCTGTCTGGATTCCCACTCCTTCTGCTGTATTAAGCACAAAGGAACTTACCTTTTCGGAAAATCAGCTTCCTGTTGGATGTCAGAGCACACACAGTGTGACTGGGATCGCTGTTCTCCTTTTCTGTGTCAGTTTTCATCTCTGAGAATGAGGACTTATTGCAGGTGTCTTGGATGTCTTTGTCACTGACGTTTAAACTCAAGAACAAAGCAATTTTCTTTACAACCTTAGGGAGATCCTGAGGCACAAGAAAAATAAAGGTTTTATGTTTCTAAGCTGATTATCAGACTTTTAGCTAATTTGGAAAGGATCCTTTTTATTCCATAACAAGTTTGTCACACATTCATTTGCTTTCAGGCAAGCCAAATATGACATTGGACTGTGCAGATGACAGGTACAGTAAACCTGATTCCCCTCATACCCATACTCACAGAAATGAATAAATACTGAATATGTCATATCAAACACAGTTATATTCCCAATTTTACTCCCAGTTGAGGTAAAATGTTCTCCTATCTCTCAGAATTATTTCACTGGGAGTAGAGAAATAATCAAAACTCAGCTTCTGTGTAAGTAGCTTATTTCAGTGGAGGTGCTGTATCTAGAGATCTAACAAGTGACTTAGAATACAAAATAGTTGGAATTTTTTTGTTCCCAAAAGATGAACAAACCTATTTTAATAGAAACACTAGAGAGTGTTTTGTATTCACTCAAAAATTCATTCTTTGAAAGCTAAGGTATGTTGGTATATTTATTTATTTATTTATTTATTTTTAAAGAACAGCAAAACAGTGTCTGTATGATTTCCTTTCACCAAAACTGTTTTCCTACCCTTTCAGTCTTTAATTTTCTTGTTATTGGGAATATAAGTACCACAAGACTGTGAGTAATTCTGTTTCTGTTGTCTTACATCACTTTTTGAAAATTTCACTGGAAATGTCAGACATAGCAAGTTAGTGTGTGGCCTTCAACAGATGCCCTTGGTTGGTCTTTCCACAGGGACCAAGAAAGAGGAACTTAAAATTCTTCCTTGTAGCCTGGAGAAAATTATGTAATATGAGTCCCATTCCTGCATGTAGGAAATGTAACTCTCACGGGATTTGATATTTGTATAACTTCTGCAGTCAGACTTAGTTCACTAATATAAAATTCTATGCAAATACAAAATATGCCCAAAGACATACATTCATATTTTCCTTTTTCCCTTTTTCATTATAATTTCCTCTTTGATATTTTAATGATGCTAATTTGCAAGTAATGCATTCTGAACCAAGTGCAGAGAGCATATTTACCTTCTTCATGTCTTCATAGAACAAAAATAGGATGTTTTTGTCATCTTCATGTGCTTCCCAACTGAGGAAATGATCAAACCAGGATCCACAGACAACTGAAAAGAAAACCCATGTAAAAGACATTCAGATAAATTTTATTCATAAATAACTGTGGTGGTTCCTCACACATAGGGGAATGATCCCTTCATTACATGTACCATGTATTGCTCTAAAACAAATGCAATTCTTGTGCCAAGTGACTCAAACTTACAAAAGTGGCATCCAAAGAGGTTACCATTCTTGTTGGAATTTGTTTTCATATCAGAGATTCAGATACTATTCTGAGACGATTCTGTAGTGGAAACAGACTCCAAATCTAAGGAAAGGCCAAGAATGAAGGAAAATGCACCTGCGTAACAAGATCTGAGCATCTCAGCAAATGACTGCATGTCTGTGGTCACAGCTAGAAATGTAATCACTTCACCAGGAAATGAAATAAGGACTCTGTTAAACGGAGCACACTGCTGTCAGCTCTCTTTTGTCTCAGCAGAAGGGAATCCATATAATTTTTAAACTCCCAAGAAGGATTATGTAAAGAACTTATGCAAATACATCATTCAGCCAATGAAACAGATAAAACAGTTTATAACTGAGTCACAGTGCTTGTTTTGTCTGAATGCTCCTTTTCCTAGACCATGGGAGGACAGCTAAATTTCATCTTTCTTTTAAAAACCAACATTCTGACCTTTCCAGCTGAAAGGGAAGACGAAAGCCTCTTGTAGGGCAATGAGAAGAGGCCTGGACAGAGCAATCACGGCCAGTGTTCTCCCAAACTGTGACTTTGCTTTTATAAGCACCACCACAACAATGTAATCTTGTAATGACCAACATTTTGGTTGCAAACTGTGAGTTATAATTAAGCATTAATTATAACTAATAGTTGTAATTAAGCTGAATGCTCCAGTCTGTAGCCCTCTCCAGCACATAAAGCGGTTTCTGAGTGCAAGGCACATGTGCTCCACGGTGTGCAATTAGACCCTGCTCTCCTGGTCAACTACACCGGGCATGTGGCCAACAAAAGCGTAACCCTGGTGGATTCAGGAGTACAGAGTACTTGGAGACTCCAGGGATGGCACCACAGTTGTCCCTCTGTGCCCTAACCCTTGTTTTGAGCTGATATTAACCCTGCAAGAACTTCAGGATTTGAATCAAGCAGCACAATAGTCCTGTGTTTTTATTAGAAGTTAAAATTACAACCTTTTCCTCCACATCATCTCTTACCTAAATTTCTGACGTAACAAACACATTTATGCCACGGACAAGCACTCAGAGAATAGAAGGTGGCTAATAATTTGCAGGTAAGTGAGAGATGCTTTTGTAATTTAATCATAGACTCACAGAATGATTTGAGTTGGAAGCAACTTTAGAGATCCTTAAGTTCCAAACCCCCCACCATATGCACAGACAGCTTCCACTAGACCAGGTTGCTCAAAGCCCCATCCAACCTGGCCCTGAATACAATCCTCTTTTCTTTTTTTCCACTTTTGTATGTTCAGAGTTCTTACTAAACAAGCCAAGATCCTGCAAATCAATGAAGCATGCATCTTAGGCCTGCTCTGATCTAGGAACACAAGATCTGACCCCAAGCCCAGAGAAGGCAGCGAGCAAATTGACTTCTGGACCTCTAATGTGAGCCCATGATGACTGCAATGGCGCTTTTCTTTCAAAATTTTCAAGCTGATCAATCATTATTGCTGTTATCATCACTAGGGTGACACAGTACTCCTCAAAGAAGTAATAAAACACTAAAAATGGGAGTGGATAAAGTGAACAAGGTCCTGTTGTTAACTTCCATCCCGCCACTCATAAAAATCTCCCTCCTGTCCTTGGTCTTTGGACCCCACCACTATGACAACACATCAGTTTTGGCACAGGGCAAACCCATGTCCGAATCAACAAATAGTCAGAGGTTGCAGAGTGTTCGTGGGAAGAAATGAAATCAGTGTCTTTTCTGGGAGAATAGGTTTTTTTAACAGGTGTGTAAGGAACAGCAAGAACCTGCAAAGAGCAGTTGTGCTGAAATGATGCAGCTGCTTATCAAAATGTCCCGTTGCAGGGCTGAAGGGGTCATCCTATCATTTGGTCTTGTTTAGTTTGGCATTAGAATTTCTCCTGAGACTCCCAGTCCCCCCAGATAATGCCATATGAATAAGGAGCTCAACAAGGAGTTTTCGCACACTTCACATTTCTTAACTCTTTCTGTGCATAATAAGCTAATGTAAAATGCAAGGAGAAAATATTTATTCTTACCGTTCCCTTTTAAGAATAAGTCAAAGAAAGCAGTCCAGGTATCTACAGTGGGAAGGTTTGGGTTATCTCTGTAGTAATGATACATGGAAACTGCAGTGTCTTTTGGATTTCTGCAGATGTAGATCATCTGTAAATGAAGATGATACATTTATTAATGATAATATCCTTCCTTTGTTTTAGAGAAGCTCTGTGTGTAAATATAGCATTTTCACGGGCAGTTGGCAGTGTCAAAGCCCTTCCCTTCAGGATTCCTCCTTCAGTGACCATGCCATTAAATTAGAAATGTATTTGTCTCTTCTTAGGCAGGAGTCCGTAGTGGTTAGTAAACAATTCCATGTGGAAGGAGGTGTGTTTGTCACAGCTGGGTAATGTTTACATTTTGTGAAAGAGCCTGTGTTAACTTTAACTCATGAGTCAGTTTACTATCTCATATATCTCACTTATGAAAACATTTGCTAATTAACATTCACGGTACAGCTGCAAAACATAAATTTTGGCTTTTCTTTCAAATTTGCTGTGTCCCAAAAGTCTGTATCTGAGTTATCCTGAAATGTTAGACTTTTAATAAAAAATCCAAGACTCAGAGCTTATTTTTAAAGACCTCCCACATCAGCATAGGAGGAATCAGTCTAATGGAAGGTGTCCCTGCCCACAGCATGGTGGTTGGAACTAGATGATTCTTAAAGTCCCTTCCAACCCAGGTGATTCTATGATTCTAGGAACTCAAAACTGTGATCTGAATATGCCTCCCACGTTTCATTTTCATTTCTCTTCTGTTCACCCAGTATCTTTATGGGTTCTTTACAAAGCTTTAGCAGGAGGGGCAACCCCAGTACAGCCTGTAAGTACTCAAGATAACTATTTCCTAAGACACTAGGAAATGAGGCCATGAGAAAACCCCCACCCCTAATGAGAGATTTCTAATTGAAAGTTGTTGATGTTCTCTATTTTGTGTGATGCCTGGTATACAAATCACCCCATGAGAGCAGTGGGGCAGGAGCAGAACCCAGTTCCTAGTCCAAGTCTCTGCTCATGCTGCCTTTGACTGCTGATCAGCTGTGTCTCCAAAATTCACAGCAAAGCACTTCTGGAAACTGTAAACCATTCAAAAATTATTAAGGATCAACAGGACAAAATATATTCCTAAAAGACGCTTAACATATCTTACAGCTTTTATGTAATTTTTGCCTTACCTTGCATTTCTTATTCTTAAAATTCTGAGGTAACATGTTGTAGTCTAAGTGTGTTGGAATGATTCTCTTTGAGGAGAGATTATTCAGCTCCTCCAGTTTGGAAATGTCTCCAAATTCAATGGGAGATGTTATTGTAACTTGAGTATCGTAAAGCTTTGTTATAACTCCTGCAAGCCAGTGGGTGCCTGCAGAAAAGTAATTTTTAAGAAAACAAACAAGCAAAAAAATATTTATTATTGAGAAAATGTGTGGAACATGCATTTTTCATATACAAACAGATTGCTAGTGAACAAGGGATACTTTTAAGCCCCCAGATTCAAGAAACTTTACGTGACTGAATAATTCCGTTGGCTCCAAATAGATAAACACTTGAAAAATTAGGGTTATAGCTGAAGTTCAAAGTAACTCTGTGAAAAGTGTTAATAATAGTAACAAAACAATCTCATTAGACAAACTGCTTGTCAGCTGAGAGGTGGTTATATTATTTTTGTAATTTATTTTAGAATAACTTGTTTTGCTTGATTGTTTTTTCCTTATAGTAAGTAGAGTCTGTAAATTTGAAAAGTGCTGATTGAGCTTCTCCTTTGGTGTGTGTTTCTCTGTGCAAGGAAGGCAGGTGGAGAGGGGATAAGAAACTAATAAATCTACAGCCAAGAGCCATACAAATAACTTAACACAGCTCTTGACTTATAGAATTGAATATAGAAAGTCCTTAGGAAAACCTTTCAAGAACAGGTGTGCTTACAAATAAGGAATATTTATTTGCATTCCAATATGAAAACACCTATGGCTATTTTCAATTACAGAATCAAAATGTAGGTAAATGATCCATATTTCCTGTAATTTTAACATTTACTGACAGAATAATATATTCACTTACTCAAACATCCTTTCCTATTTCTTCTACACAGATATTTTCCAAAGAGTTTAAGCAGAGAACATGAAACACACAATTGAGACTTAACTGCAACTTACATTTAAAACTAGAGCTTACCTGATTTGGGATAGGAAACCAAAAGGACATCATCTTCTCTAGCATCAAAAGCATCCAAGGATTTTAAAAGTTCTGGAGAAGACCTGGTGGTAAAGCGAATTCCCTTAAACATGTGAATGAGTTCTGCCTCAGTGGAGTTGGACATGGTTGCTTAAGTCTTGGATTCCTGCAAATCAGATAACAAGGAAATGATGAGGATTTAAGAGGCACTTCTTAGTCAGATGGTTTGAAGTGACAAATTGAGACCGAGCAATACAAACCTCCTGCTTATATACTTTGCTACACGCCGTGAAGTCCTATCAGATATTGATTTTGCCAGTAGTTGATAAAGGCAACTGACATGTTGGAGGTAACTTAATAAATAACTGAATTGCAGAGTCATGAAAAATGCATGTCTTTTGTCCTTTATTGGCTCTCCAGATAAAGTAATGAGGTAATAGTTAAAAAGTAATTGTGGAAAATGACAAGAATTAATATTATATGTTGCCTTAAAATTTACCTAATATGGTTATGCTATAAGTTATACTCTGTGGGAAGCTGCATCTTAAAGTACTGTTTATTAATACAAAAACAATGTATTATTTTATGTGAATGAAATATTTTTTATTTCATTTTATGAAATGTACAACAGCCCAAAATTTCAAACATGCAAATCAACTCCAAGTGCTTGGATCTTGTGATATTAAGGAACAAGTGTTTTGAAGATTTTCTAATTTCAGCCTGAGGAATCTTAAAAACAGAGGCCCTTAGAGGCAATATAATTTTTTAAGATGTCATATGTCTCCATAAGAAAATATAGACAGCAAAAGTCACAGACTTAAAATAGATATATTGCTTGAATCCTGCTTATTTTGTGCCTAGAAGTAGTTGGAGATTTTTTAATCTTTCCCCAGAATATGCAGATTCATAAAAATAAAAGCCACTTTCAGGAAAGAGGCAGTTCTCCATCAATTACCTGGTTTCAAATGGTTAGGGGTATTTTTGAAAAAGTTTGAATGTGTGGAAATTGTCATTAATGTTGTAAACTGAAAGCTCCATTTTTATTTAAAGTGACCTTAAGCACTGTGAATGTATCACAGTAAAATAAATAGCTCAGTTTTGAATCAAAACATTTTACAGTGCTTAGTATTTTCAGTTTTCCTTTCAATGGCCACAATTTTATTTATTCTTTTTCCCATTCTTTTCCTCAAACACCAAGTGATTTCACTATCCCTATTGAAAGCTTCCCACAGTGTATTGAGCTGAAGAGCCTTTAGTATCTTCATCTTGAGGACCTTCATGCAAATCTTGTTTTAAGATGAAGCAGATTTTGGAGAATTTCCCAAGGTTACCAATGTTCCAGTTCTTTTTTTTTTTTTATCATAAATAACAACTTGGGTTTGGTCATTAGAGCTGACTACCAGATATACTCCCACAATAGCTGGTAAGATGTTAATAAATAGACATACACTTCCAAGAAACACTTGAACAGTAAGGATTACTCACAAGGAGTAAGGGTAGTTACCATCTTCTGCACTTGCTTCTTTCTAATCCAATGTCCCAAAAGGCCAGCAATATAAGATTGATTTTTCCCCTCCTTTCTTTTATCTGCAGTGTTGGCAGCCTGCCATCAAAGAGAAGTGATCTTCTCTCTTGTGTGGCCTGTAAAGTTGCCCTTTAACACTTATCACCTGCAAAATGTGCCCTGTGCCATCAGTAAACCGAGTTCCAGTTATGCAGGGCAAGGTGGGGTTGAAATAATGGAAAATGTGCTGCAGGGATGTTCCCTGTGCCTAAGGATGACAGGAGATGGAAGAGTCTTTCCCGGAGGTAATCAAGTGAGTCAGTGAGGGTACAAGAAACACTTGGATGCTGGTGTTCAGGAAGGAGTTCAGGAATCTCTCAGTGCTGAGGAGCTCAGCATTTTCCTCTTGCTCCCAGCCTGAACACCTAAGCTATTGCTTCATACCCGAAGGTGTAAATCCTTAAAAATCTATCCTCTGTCAACAGATTTCACTTGGGCCGCTTCAAGTATACTAAGCATGTTCAAAGACATAAAGACACCTGTTTCTGTGTTATTCTGAGTGTCTGTATTAATCTGAATACGGAGATTTCCAAGGTTTATTTTGCAGTCATCATTCCTGCCATATGCATGTCACCCAAGCTAGTAAAACTTTATTGCCTTGACCTGGCAGAAATAATCTTATTGTAAAATGTTTTGCATATTTACAATGCTCATTCCCTTTCATTTCCTCCTGCATTCCTCTTACATTTTGAGTCAGCACATTTGCCTAATCTAATGACTTGGACCTAAATTAATCATTCTCAATATAAATTCCTAAGGTGTAAAACAGAAGCAATACAGTAGCCAAGAAAAATTGCAATTCTTTTAACTCTCCTCAATTACTTTCTGTACTAGCTTATCTTTTCAGCATGTGTAATGGTAATCCAGGGGAAGGAAGTTGAATTTTCTCCTTCTCAAATGCTCTCCATACCTGGAAAATAAGGCCCATCCCTGCAAGGGTACAATATCCTGAATTGCAACAACTTCTGGAAAAAGAGAGTATTCAGCATCTTGCGGGAAAAAGCTATTAAAAATATTATTAAAAATATGCTAACTACATTGCCATAAAAAGCACATTATTATAGCTACATTATCCAAAAGGAGCACAGGTTTAAAAAAGACCATGCCAAATTCTCCATGCATTTGATTTTCTTCTGTATTGATATCTATATATCTATTAATAGCTATATACCTATATATATCCATTTATATATAGCAGGTGTGTAAATATATATACACACATCATAATTCCGGTATATAGTGCCTGATATATGTGTGTATATATAAAATTTTATATGTCCTTGTCCTGGTCTCTGGCCCTGCTATCTGTGTCAGTGGAGTACACATGGTAGCAACAGGTTTCACAGATATTTTCTGGTAAGACAGTCAGTGCTAAACCCAGACTTTGGGGGTTCTCCATGATTTGAGCAAAATACAACTGGGCAGTTGGACACTGCACTCCTGGGCTGCTCCAGTCCAGCTCCTCCTGTGTCCGTGTCTGACTTAAGACCTTCTCCCATTCATATCTTTGTCTGGGTGAGTAACTTCTTTCTGTTGCTTTAAATGACTTAAAAAGTCTGACTGTTCTGTTCCTACCTCTACCCTGCAACCTCCAATTCAGGATCACCATCCTCTCCTCTGCTTGAAAAAAGGCGGTACCATGTACACCTCTGTCAACTGAAGATTTCTCAGCTGAGGCCAATCACTGTTCTCCTCCAAACACACCTTGTTGCCAAAATCATCTGAAATCATCAGGTTAACTAATATCTTCTAACACTGCCTTTTTAGTGTCAATGAGTGAGGTACTACTTTATTCTTGGTTAGGAGGTGTGTGTGTGTGGCCAACAAAATTCTGGCCTCCACATAGACACTGATACAAAACTTTTCCACCTAATTATAGATTTTTAGCAAACAAATTAATGTTCAATGGATAAACAGTGTTTATCAAAAATTAAAGTTTTAGTAATTTTCCCAAGCTGTGTTCTCACAATTGCAGGTTATGACAACTTTGCTAAATGCTAACTAAAAGTGACTTAAGACACTACTTGTGATTAATTAAAACAACTACTTAAAACCATTTAAAAATAGAAAAATTATATAATTTCCAACAGTCTCAGGCAGCACATACTAAAAGATATTGTCTCACTGTGGAAAACACGCAGACAAAGTCGTATGTGTTGGCTACACAAGTCAAAATTTGGGTGTACATCCACAGGGTTCTGAATGTTTTTAGCTAACACTGTCAGACATCAGGGTTATCATTTTTTGTAATGTCCTAAAGCTGTGAAATATTTCAGTCTTGCCATAATGAATGGAGAGGTAAAATTGATATGGCCAGTCATAAGGTTTTGTTGTTCCAGTTCTCCACCAGATAGACCAGACACATGAAATTGGTAGAAATTACGTGCATAAAGATTGTCCTCGTGCATCTGTGTAAAATTTGTACAGAGGGTCTGCAGCAGTGATGACAGAGCAACATCTTGGGCCACCTGCAGAATCATCCCCTGAGTCATAGTCTGTTTGGGATGTTCTGCTGTTTTAAAACACTTCTGAGATTTTTTGGGAGTCTTGCCACCCCACTGCAGACATCATAAGTACTGTGGGGAAAAGGGTGACGGCCAAGAACTGAAAAGGCTCCAGTTCGTGGTTGTTCCAGGTGAACTGACATGTCAGTTCCAGGTTGTCTGGTGAACTGACACGTCCTTAAATGATAAAGAGAAAGCATTTAGCTTTACCTGATGCACCCGGGAGAACTGAAGAATTTTACTTTAGGATTTCAGTGAAATCCCTGCTTATTTTAATGTTACAACTGCAGCACTTCATTTAAGTTTATGATCAATAGCTATTTAATAGACACAACCTGCAAAATGGTTGGATGCAGCATGAGTGATCAGACCGTTTTTGGAATTTAGGGCACCTCAACGTCTGGATGCTGACAGTTTAGGAACCTAACCCTGGGCTTCTATGTGGTTCTGAAAAAAATCTGGTTGAGAGGTGGATGTAGAGCTGCTCACAACACATTGAGATTCATAGTAACTCTTCTTCAGTGTACTCTGAGCTGGTCCCAGCTATTAGGTCGTGTGACTTAGCCAGAACTGCCCCACTGGAATTGGCACTGGATTGCTTTTACACTTCCAACAGCCGTTCTCTTCCTGGTAGGCTTTGTTGCAGTGTCTCGGTGCTTTCAGAGAGGCCTCTCTCCATTAACCCAAAGCTCAACCCTAATCAAGCACTAACAACTCTGATTTCAGAAATCTCTGACTTCACAGGCACTGCAACCTGTGGCACCCGTGCCTGTGATTAGGTAATACCATAAAGGAAGTCAACAATACGTGCAGAGTCATGTTGCATTTATGGCACGTCAGATTGTAAAGTTCCGTGATCTTTCCTCATCCCTGTCACAACAAATCATCGCCTGAGGATATTTTGTGCCACATCCACAGCTGATACAGCTAATTATAACTGTCCCAGAGCTCCCTTGGAGAGCTGGCAGCCAATTGCCACCTCTGAGGTCACTCCAACATCTCTCCAACTTCTGACCCGCACGTTATGACGTCTTCAGGGCGTTCACACATATTAATGAAGACATGAAGGGGTGGCAGGGGGAGAAGAGGCAAAACATAAAATCAAATGAGGATTTTAACCTTCATTGGTCTAAAAAAAAAAAAAAGATAGATGATGCTGTGTGCATGCAGGAGGGCTCA